ATAACGAATCAGTCATTAAAGATGGTCGTTCTCGTTAATAAGAAGCCATTTTGTAGGAGTTAATTATGTAAAAAGAATAGGGAGTTTCTTGTCGATTGATTCGGTCTTGGCGTAGAGCTCGCAACAGCGGAAAGTTCCAATATACGCCTCCTTGTTTAATCTTTTCCAATCGTTGCCATTGTAAGTCTTCAGCCTATTTTTATATGAAGATCGTCATCTTTAGAAGGACATTTCTTGAGGTACCGTTACTTTATTAACGAGCTCCTAGCGAGTTTATAAGTTTGTTGTGTCCGTCCGTCCGTCCGTCCGTCCGTCCGTCCGTCCGTTAGCACGATAACTCATAAACGAATGGACCGATTACGATGAAATTTTGCAGGTGGATTCTTTATCAAATTTGTAGATCGGAGTTCGTGAATTGGCAATGTAGCCCAAAAAATAAAGTAGGCCCTTTTGACATCTCCGTTAGTTATGAACCGAATTGCATGAAATTCAATATGCGCATAGGTTTAGCCACATAAAACACAATTCCAAAAGTTGAACCTAATCGATCAGCATTCACAGTGCCCTTTGCTCATCTCGACCATTTACAGACCGAATTGCAAACTTTCTTATTTATGAAGGTATTTAAATGAAATTTGATACATAGCCACTTGGAATAAAAGTAAATTTAACGCCAGTTTCAAAATTTGGTTTTGCGCATGTGCAGTGCCAACTTTCTTATTTATGGAGGGATTTAAATAAAATTTGATACATAGCCACTTGGAATAAAAGTAAATTTAACGCCAGTTTCAAAATTTGGTTTTGCGCATGCGCAGTGACAACTTTCTGATTTATAGAGGGATTTAAATGAAATTTAGTACCTACATAACTACTTGGAATAAAAGAAAATTTAACATCAGTTTCAAAATTTGGTTTTGCGCATGCTAGTTAATCACGTGTAAAAGAATAGGTTGTGCATGCGCACCAGTGCTAACTTTCTTATTTGTGGAGGCATTCAAATGAAATTTCATACATATACACTTTAAATAAAAGCAAAACTAACAACAGGTTTAAAATTTGGTTTTGCACATGCTATAGCCATACCCAGGAGCTCGTTTGCTATATTTGTTTAATTTATTTATGTAAAAATATTGAAATGCAATTAGCTGTGCACTTTTTTTATTATATATATAGTTCTGTCACGTTTTTCCATTGCTATTTTACTTAATTAAATGTTTTTTTTCCGACGGTTTTACACAATTCGGAATTTATTAGGCTTCAGAAGTTAATTGGGCCCTTTCAAGTTTGACCTTTTTTCCCTATTAGTTTTTCGACTAATGATAATTTAATTTCCATGTAACTTGATAGATGCCTGTAAATTTTAAAAATCATTCCATTTCACCTTTTATTATCAGCCTGAAGATGACATTCTTAATAGTATATCGAAACATGTAGCTTTATTTTAAGCCGTATAACCAATTTTAAAATTTCAACTTTATTAAAAGAATCTATGGGAAGGGGGGTCTAAACACCGAAAATAATGACGATTTTGTATTTCTGTATTGTTTATTTAAATCTGGTTATTTATCTGTAAAAGTCGAAATTGCGTGATAAAATGTAGAAACATCTGGTCAAGTCTGCGTGTACTATGAAATGCGTTTATCTGGTTGTTTTGCGATAAGGGATGTTATCGGACGTAATTTAATTAACGCACGTGTTTTGGTGCCAATAACAAGAGAGGAGCGCGTTCCTTCGAAACTGGGTTAGCAAGGCTTATTGTAATTGGCGCATTATTTCTAAATATTGGAAAATGTTTTTTGTCTGGTGGAGATGGTGTTTCTTTAAATATTGTAGATAACGAAAAAACGAGGCTGTTGCAGGCTAGGAACGAAGTTAGGATGCTGAGAGGATGCTAGCATTATGCCGAATAGTAGTCGGTAATGCAACCACTGCGCCACCGGCTTCGGTGCCCACTTAAGTTTGTCCCTATGGCTTAAATAGACGTTGTTCCTGTATTACGTGTGACTATGTTCTTTGGTTCCCTCCCGTGTTCGGTGCTATGTGGGTGGCTGTACAGGCGCTTTAATCGGCCTGAAAGCCTATCGTCCTCATGATGGGTGCTCAGGCAGCGTGAACCAGATCGTCGATCCGGGGGTTGTGATCGAGTTCGGTTTCCGATGCATACTCTGATGGATCCGTCCGGTTCCTGTAATTTGACTACCGGAGCTCCCATGGCGATTCACACAGTTCTCCTCCTGGAGTGAACATGTCCGCGTTTGTTTGTAGGAGGAGGTGGAGATCATCTCCGTCGGGGCAAAGGGTTCCCTTTCTCTGATCGTAGAGTCACCACCTCGACTTCCAGCGTGAAGAGGGCAACGGCCTGGCGGGGGAGGGGAGATTGATGGCGACGGTAAATCCTGTAAGGCGACCACAGAGGGCGCAGGAGGGGTGACCGCGAAGATGCGATAGGGCGGAGTTGGGCTCCTTTCGAAGAAACGGAAGATCAACTCGCCGAGCCACCTGGAGTTCCTGGGTGGGCGGCCGCTTGGGGCATGCGGCGGAGTTTTTCTCTGCGGTGACTGCTTCCGTGGGTTCCAGCGCGAAAAAAGTTGTTGAACTTGTTTCACTGAGAAAAGCACTCTAAAAATGATCATGACTGATGTGTGGTATGTTCCAAAGATTTCAAGAAATCTTTTTTCTGTTTTAGCAGCTCAAGATAAAAATGAAAACAGTAAGTTCTACTCCACTGTGACCAAGTGCTGGTTAGAAGTGAATGGAAAAACTGCCCTGTGCGGAGGTCTGTACAAGGCAGCCATCGAACCAGTGATTCCTGAGAAAGCAGAGAGAGTCAACATCGCAGAAGTAGAAAACTCAATGCTGCAACTCTATCATGAAAGATGGGGAGACCAAGACAAGCGACACGTGAGAGAGATGCTCAAAAGAGTATTAGGCATCACCGTGAAGCTAGTGAAGGGGGTTTGTGAGCCCTGTATTTTTGGAAAGGAACATCGCTTGCCGTTTGGTGCACGAGTAACTGCAACGAGACCTGGTTAACTTTTTTCTACTGATGTTGTAGGCCCATTTTGTGAATCCTTCAGTAAAAAACGATTTCTTGTGATTTTTAAAGACAATTACACAAAATTTTGTTATGGTTGTGTGATAAAACATAAATCAGATGTGCGAAATTGTGTTAAAACAGTTCTTAGCACACGCAAAAACCCTTGGGCACAGCATTGGAAAACTACTCAGTGATAATGGTGGTGAATTCGACTGTGAAGAGGTTAAGAGCATCCTAGTGGAGAACGGAATCACTCAGAGACTAACAGCGCCCTACACACCAGAGTAAAATGGAGTCAGTGAGCGTGAAAACCGAACAACAATCGAAATGGCCAGAGCCTTCAAGTACTCAAACAGTGAAGTTGATTTTCCAGATTCTATTTATGGGCAGAGTTGGTAATGACAGCCATTTACGTGTTAAAATAGAACAGGAAAATCTTCAAAAGAAGGGGTAAGTCCTTATGAACTGTGGATTGGGAAGAAACCAAGGATAAAACATCTACGAGTTGTTGGATCTGTCTGCTATGTTCACATACCTGCTGAGAAGAGAAAAAAGATGGACAAGAAAGCAATCAAAGGATTCCTCGTTGGATGTGATGGTGATGAGCGTTACAGAATTTATATTCCAAACGATCACAAGGTCATTGTTTCCAGAGATGTTCAATTTCAAGAAAAAATTAAAGAATGTGAAAATCAAGTTAAGTTTCCAATAAAAGAAGACAATGAAGGAACAGAAGAAGATGACAGAGACTATGAGCTACAAGTGGATGCAGAAGAAAAATTTAAGACGGAAAAAGAAGAATATTTTCAGAAGAATTCTGAAAGAATCTTGAGGGATAGATCGATTTTGAGGAAACCCCTACATCTGGAACCATATTCCATGCTGGTGGAGGAGTTTGTAAATCTAGTGACCGAGGATCCTGAGACGTTTGAAGATGCCCTAAAAAGAAGTGATTCTGTAGAGTGGAAGAAAGCCATGGATCGTGAAATCGCTTCGTTGAAAGAAAACCAGACCTGGATTTTGACAGATCTTCCACCTGGTGCGAAGGTAATTCAATGCAAGTGGGTCTTCCGACTTAAGAAAAGTCCTGACGGTAGTATCGACAAGTACAAGGGGCGGCTAGTCGTCAAGGGGTTCAGTCAGCGTCATGGTATCGATTGCAGTGAAACCTTCAGTCCAGTCGCCCGGATGGGGACAATCCGATCGATTCTTAGCATTGCAGCAAGTGAAAACATGAATTTGATGGAATTTGACGTCTCTACTGGATTCATGTACGGAAATCTTGAAGAAACAGTTTTCATGAAACAGCCCCAAGGATATGAAGGTGGAACCAAGGTCTGCCAACTCAAAAGAAGTCTCTACGGTCTCAAACTAGCGCCAAGATTCTGGAACAAACGTCTGGGAGCTTTTCTTCATGAACATGGATTCAAGATCAGTAATGCTGATCCGTGCTTATTTATTCGAGAAAGAGATGGACAAAAACTTATCATTGGAATTTATGTAGCTGGAACAGATTCAAGAGAGCTAGAAGTTTTCATTGGAGAGTTGAAATCAGAATTCAAAATTGTCTCGAAAAATGCAGACTATTTTTTGGGAATTGAAATACAACAAGAAGAAGGGTTTATAAAAATTCATCAGAAAACTTATGCAGAAAAAAATTTTGGAACGGTTCAATATGTCAGATTGCAAACCAGTTTCAACTTCAATGCTCAAGGGTGAAGAAACTTCCACATCACTTGATTCATGTTTCATGGAGACCTAAATCGGGCACTATTCTCAATCTCTACGAAACTATTTTACGCAATTCATCAACTAAGTCGTAAGTGGATTGTTATAAATCCCACGTGCTCTACGTTCACTGCACCTTTCCCAAATTCGCCGAATACGTTAACGCAAATTCTTTCGAATTGAAGCTAGTTACTTAGGTGCCGCAGGGCTGTCAGTAATTGATTCCGGAAACGTGTACCAATCGGTAATAACTAGAAGTCATTTAGTGATTAGGTATAAAGACCCAACCGCAGTGTAATGCACGACATTGTAGAAATAATGGCGTTTAAGGTAAGCTTACGTTTTGACTTTTGTGGATTTTTCATTTTTGTTTTTCAGATTCTCTTGTTCGCGGTTTTCGTATCGTTTGCCAGTGCAGGCGTACTCGCACCAGTACCGGCCATCGTAAAACTGACTGTAGCCGCTCATCCGCCGGTTGTAAGCGTGGTCTCACCGGCAATCACAAAGACCGTGGTCTCTCCAGGTTCCTACTCATCCTCGTACAGGAGCGATATCATCACGCCGCGGGTCAAATACGTCGAAACCCCTGGCGTCAGCATCACGGTGCCGCAAACGGCTGTCGTCGCTACTCATGTCCATCACGCCGTTCCGGTCGTTCCAGCCGTCGCCGTAACGAGAGTAGAGAAGGTCGTGCCCGTTTTTCCAACCGTCTCCGTCTCCAAAGTCGTGCCGGTTGTGCCCACGCTGACCAAAATCGTGCATGCTCACCCGGCACCCCTGATAGTAGCACCGACGGTTACGAAGACCGTGGCGATCAAGTCTGCGTACGTTGCACCCATTCCTCTTACCCACGGATTGGTATCCCACAGCATTGCTCATTTATAATAATGTAATTTAGTATCTTAGTAAATGTGTAGGAAATAGATTAAAGTAGTTTTATTTCAAAAGTCATTTGTGCGCTGTGAACCACTAGGGAAAGTGATAGAAATCCCGTAATAAAAAGAATCGCGAAAAGTATTGCACAATATACGAATAGAAGGGATAAAAAAGGAGTTTTTAAAGGCAGTGAGTTTCCGAGATATAGATGGCCACTAGGTATGAGCATTTTGTCTCACTCTTTTTCCTTTGCTCACTTCTTCAGTTTCTTTTCCACTCACTCTGACCATCACCTTCTAGATTTATACAGCTCTCTCAACAGGTTTCTATCGCTCCAGTCTATACCAATATCCTTCAGTGTCTCCAATTTTGGTAACGTAATTCAGATCATCTGGTCAAATACCTGTACTATATGTACAAGTTTGGCATACTAACCCTGACTATAGCACATTGGTATAATGCCTTCAGTGTCTCTGAGGAATACCACCACACCCAATCACATTCTTATCCTTGAGATCAATTGCTCTTTCTACTTCACACCTCACAATCTCTGGTTCTTGATTGTTCTTTTTACATCCATATACCATCTTGCCATATATTCCTTTATACCTGATGATATTTCACCGCGTTTATTGTTTTTACCTTTTTTACTAATCGGTTTGGGTTTTCTACTGGTCAGTCAGTGTCTTTATCGTTTTGCACATTTCCTCCATAAGCCCTAGTTTATTTGCCTCTTCTATCTCTATGTACCTGCTTCTCATCAATTTCTGTTTAGCCATGGCATGTCACATTCCCTTTTTTTGATTATTAATTTGCTTGTATACTTATTCCTTCCTTCCTCAGGAACGATTAATTTTCCATTTCCTTCTATCATCAATCTTGTCCAGACATCCACTCTCTCCTTCGTTATTTTCCCACTTCTTCATTCAAAGCATTTTTTACTACTTCCTTCATGTCTGAGGGTGCTTTTCCAAGTCCTCTCAAAGACAATCTTTGTACCACATTACCCGGTCACTGATAATGGTTTGGTCCAACGTCTTTTTCAACACAATTGATGCTCCTGCTCTTTTTTTTCTGCCATTCTGCGTCTTCTGGGTCGGTCGTGTTCCTAGCCTGGTTCCCTCGCGTTTTTAGGGAGTGCAGATTTTCTTTTTTGTAATGCCCACTTACGTTCTTTATCGAGGGCTTCCCACCTTTGTGTCTCCTTAACAAGCTTCCCTGTTGCAACATATTACATTTATGTGCAATGCGCCATGGTGTTTTATTCATGTGGGTTTCTTCCCATCGTTTATGACCACCATCGCCCCATCTGGTGTACTCGTACGCCAATTTGTTTCCCCTATTAATTGTCTCCATAACATTTTTGATATTTTTCTGGCTTTAAGTATTAGTTCCATTAGGGTGTCTAGTACCCTTTCAAATACCGAGCTGGCCGGGAGGCCGAGTCCTGTGAGGCGGACGGAAGAGAAAATAGAAGAGATGGAAGGCATTATGATTGAGGAAATGGGAGTGAGGAGAATGAAGAGAAGGGAAGAGCAATGGGATAAGGAAGAACTGATGGAAAGGATAGAATTAGATAAAAATGAAAGAAGAGAAGACAAGAAACAATATAACGATAAAAGTGGTAAAAAGATCGCAAAGGAAAAAGAGAACCTACCAGTAGAGGTGATCGTAAAAGGGGCGAGAACAATTGAAGTGGGGGAAAATACTTATGTCCGAGGAAAGGAAGAGGGAAAATGAAAGGGTAGCAGGATATAATATATAGATGACGAGTTGACTTATGAAGGCAAGGAATATGGGGGATATAAAAGTAATAAAAAAGTGGAAGAGAAATACAGTAGAAAATGATGATAGAGGTGGAAGGAGGAGAATACGTGGACGGAGAAAATAAATTGAGGGAATACCACAGGGGGAATGAAATAATAAATGAGGCAAGAGGTTTCGCCACAGATAGTATCAAGGAGAAACTGAGAACACTAATACACAAGGTATGGAAAGAAGGGGTAATAGTGCCGATTTACAAAAGAAGTGACGACAAAGACTGTATGAAAAAATTGAGGAATTGATGGTATTGAATAAAAGGTTAGAAAGGAAAAAAAGAGGTGTTAGTGGAAACACAAATGGGATTCAGAAAAGGGAGGATAACAATCAAGATTATAGATACACTGGTTGGTAAAGGACTGGAAAAATAGGGCGGAGAAGAGATAGCGTTTTTCATAGACCTAAAGGTAAAGACTAGAAAAGGAAAATGATAAAAGATGGAAAAAATATAAATTCATTTGACGAACAGGATCAAAGGCAGATAAAAAATACGGTATCTGGATAAGGGGAATGAGTCTTCTAAATTATTTTGGACATGTATGTAAAGGATCGAGGCTCGGATGCCCACTTAGTCTCCTCACCTTGTTTAACATTCATATAAGGGATATGGAGAAAATGTGAACACAGGGTCAAAGTAGACGACTCGTAGTGGGAAGAAGCAAGATGTGGTCCCTGGCATACTCGGAGGAAAAACACATGAAGGAGATGGAGAGACACAGAAAAACCGAATAGAGTTAATTGTCGAAGAATGGAAGTTGATAGGATTTAGGAAAGGCTAGAAGAGAGAGAGAGGGGTAGAATGGAAGTGACTGGAGAAAAGCGTAGAGAAAATAAGATAATTTAAATATTTAGGAGACTAGATGCAACTAAATAATGGCTCAAATGCACAAATAAGTGAATTAAGATAAAAATGGGGAAGTTAGCAATGTGACAGGTGTGGGGAATAGAAGAGGGGAAATACATTTTTGATGCAATAGTGTGTGGAGTGTTCGTATATGGAACGAAGACCAGGGGCGGAAGGGATGGGATGAACAAGAAGGAATATAAATAATGTATTGCAAATGGGTACGGGGACTAAACGGAAGGACAATAACTTACAATACTTACTTATTTGGAAATGGATCAAGTTGGGGCGCAGGATAGAAGAGAAGAGAAAGTGACTTTGCGAAAGAATGTTGTTTATCGACCAAAATGAACACCAAAAAAAATTGGTCGGAACAAAGAAAAGAAATTATAAAGGGAACTTAACCTAACACTCTAACCTAACCTCACTGAAAACTTAACACCTAGCTTAACATAACCTCCTCCCAAATTATATTCTCCTGATACAAGATTTCGCATAGCATAACTAGCACTCTAACCTAACCTCACTAATACTTTAATCTAACTTTCAATCACCTCCTCACACATTATGTTTTCCTGATCCAAGATCTAAAGTCATAATACATTCGTATACTGGGGGGTAGTTCATACCACTCCTGTCATAAGTTCTGCCTCAAAACGTTCAGCCCTAAGTATTCTTGTCAGCAATCGTGGTGTTAAAGGTGAACAATACAAATCTGGGTGGTCTCGGGGTTATGGTATCAGGAGAATATAATGGATGAGGAGATGATTTAAGGATATGGTAAAGTATGAGTGAGGTGTGATTAAAGTGCTAGTTAGGTTAGGTGAGAAATATTGGATAAGGAGAATATAATGTGCGAGGAGGTGATTAAAGTATAAGTGAGGTTAAGTTAGAGTGCTAGTTAGGTTAGGTGAGAATATATTGTGCGAGGAGATTGAAGTTTAGGTTAAAGTATTAGTGAGGTTAGGTCAGAGTGTTAGTTAGGTTAGGTGACAAGTTCAGCAACAGAGAGAGAAAATCGAGAATTGGAAACAGAGGGTACAAGGAACTAATAAAAATGGGGTGACGAAGTATCTAAGAGAAGGAAGGGATAAAATCAGAACATCAAGCTACCAGGTTCATATGCGGAAATGAGGAGATGGGGACGAAGAAGTGAAGAGAACAAGAAGAAAGGAAATGCAAACTATGTAGAGAGAAAGGTGAAGATATTGACCATATGATAAGGGAATGAAAAGAGGTAGGAAGAACAAGAGGTAGGCCCGGGCCCGACGAAGACCCCACCACTGCCTTCACGAGCCAGCTCGTCCGCCTTTTTGTTGACTCCCAACTAGTGATGTGGATTGTAGATAACGTTTTTTAAGTTACATAAAAAACGGTTATATTACGCGTAACTTACAAGAGGTCGGTTTTTTATGTAATTTATGTCTTTTATGAAACTTACGTAACATACTTTTTTAATTTAAAAAACCGTAATTTTTGTAAGTTACATAAATGTAATACCTATTTGATACATTTTGATCGGTAGGTACTACCACAGACCATCAACGGTACTACCAACGTAAACGAAATACCTACTGCTTGGGTATTTTATTTAATACACCAAAATATATAATTTAACAAGTGTTTTTATTTTCAAACACTCACAAAACGATTGGTAATTTTACACGTAATATTACGCACTTTAAAAAAAAGTGTAATTTAAAATCACTAGTTTGGCCCGTAGAATCCATAATTTCAAACAGTTTGAAGATTGGGCTACTAGATCAAAAATTACAGCTCTTCGAATTTTTTTTCAAAATTTGTTTTTTGTCCATAACTATTTATTGAGAGGTCTAATCGAAAACGTACGAATTGTTTTGGATTCTACGCACCCAAATTAATAAGAAAAAGTGTTTTACCGAGAAATTTTGGTGTAGTCGATTTTTGGTAAAAAAGGAAGGTTATACACTGCCTTTTTTGAGGCCCGAAAAAAAAATTGTCTCAGATCGACCCGGAAAAAAAATTTTCTTAAAGAATGTGGCCTGTAGAATCCATAATTTCCAACAGTTCCAAAATTGGGCTACTAGTTCAAAAGTTACAGCCCTTTGAATTTTTTTTCGAAATTGGTTTCTAGTAGTGATGTGGATTGTAAAATAACGATTTACACGTTACATAAAAACGGTTATATTACGCGTAACTTACAAGAGGCCGGTTTTTTATGTAATTTATGTCTTTTATGAAACTTACGTAACTTACGTTTTTAATTTAAAAATACGTAATTTTTGTAAGTTACATAAATGATTCAAAAAGGTTTATACAATATTGAAAAAAAAAACATAAAAAACATAAACGACAGGTAATTTTACAAAAATATTTGTAAATTACATAAAAAACATAAATTACTGGTAATTTTACTGTAAAATGGTAAGTTACATAAATTACATAAAATACATAAAAAACATAAACAATTGGTAATTTTACACGTAATATTGCGCACTTAAAAAAAACGTGTAATTTAACATCACTACTCCCAACTATTTTACTGACCATGGTCAAACCCAGTTGACGTCCTCGAAGAGTTCGCTCATCAAGTTCCGTCCTCCTTCTATTCATAAATAGAACAACCGTAAAGATCATGGCTACTGCACCACCTATCGACCTGTTCAAAAGCTCCCTGCATGAGCTCTTTTACGATGGTGTGCCGCACTGAAAAAGAAAATACATGACTATTAATTTCTTGCGTTCTTCTTCCATAGTGTAGCCGTCGACTGCTCACTACACTATTCAACCTCATGCGTAACAACTCCAGGCACAAAACGTCAAACTTCTTTATGCAACGAAACTTTATGTCCCCAAATAAAGATTATTATTAAACTCCCCGTTAAATTTAGTGCAACAGTGACATAGGCTTTTACAATAGCCCGGAAAACAACATCCATTCGTAAATTCCATTTTGTTGCTTCCCGGCGATATTCGAAACTCTGCTTCGTCGTTCGAATTGATAACCAAATGCGTTATTGGACCTCGCAATGTAAAATTTGTAACCCCGTTTTTGTTTGTTTGCCTTCATGGTCTACATGGTGATAGTAGCTGAGATGATTGCCAGTGGTTCTCACTGTTGAGCGCTGTTGATTTCGTTATACTTCCGACGCTTGTTTCTACTATACGATTGCTAATTAAATTCAGTTCAATCATACTAGATAGCGTAGTGGAGAAAGTGTTTACCTTCGGAAAATGTCGGTACTTAAAAATTTAGTGCAGCACTTACTTTACTAAACAACTTTTTTCGTGGTTGAATCAACATTGTATTTACATTTGTGGATTCCAACGTTTCTGATTGGTGATTGACATTTTCGATTGCTACAAATAATGTCTTTCTATGGAAGATGATTGCGGTGTAAACAGCAAGTACTATTTGTTTAGATCTGATACCATACAATTTGTATGATCGTCAACAGGAAAAAGCTTGATAATCGATTGCCTAATGTTCGAAACGTAGGTAAATTTGGAATAGTAGTGCGTTTCCTGTGTTGGAGTTAACATAAAGATACAATGAAAGTCCCTTTGTTACTGAACCTTTTCTTCTACGTGGTGTCGGGCGCACTGATTTTCAAAGAAAGCAAAAGGGAATCGAGGCAAAATTGTGCAGAAAAAATTATCAGCAACGTCTTTTATGATTCCAGGGCGTTGAATGTCTTAATGGATGATAGTGAATTATGCGACAGCGTGTGGGGTTCCCCAATTCCTAAAACGACAATAAATATCAAAAAATATATCGATGATCAGTATAAAATTTACAATACGGATCACGTGATTATGTGCGTAAGTGATATAAACACTTTTGTAGACAAAGTAATGCAACTGGTCAACTTGAGGGTCAGAGCATTCGGAAAAGGTCATGGAAGTATAAGATTTTTGATAATTACCTCTACCTACTTGAAACAGAACGTTAGAGAAATGTATCGACGTTTATGGAATGTTGGTTTTTCTAATGTATTCATTTACGTGTATGAAGATGAAGTTTTGCATACAGCTAACCGTTTCGAAGTAGGGAATGGATGTGGATTTACGCCAACCATAGTTCAAAACTTCAGCTGCCATGATGCAATGGACATGAGATACACTAACGTACCAATGAACCTAAATGAATGCCCAATTACCCTTGGTGATAAAGAATGGGGGGTATTGTCTGAACATGTGCCTCAGATGGTTTACACCATCTACAAACGTACTATTGTCAAATTATTGGTTAATCATTACAACGGCAAATTAATAGTATCCGACAGAAAGAACAACCAGATTGTGAAATCCAACGTTTCGTTCGTATTTAACCAAGTCCCAATTAGTAATGAGAATGTACACAGTTATTCCTCGCCCATCCACAAAGAGAATGTTGTATGGTTGGTACCTCGTGCAAAAATCATACCACCGATGGAGGTAATCTTCGTTACCTTTGAAAAACAAGTTTGGATTTTGATCGTCGTCAGTTTCATCATTGTAACGGCCGCGTGGTGGTTTATTATGTCATGCAAACAAAGGAGATGGAATATGGGAAATATGGCAATTGCGATGACAAATTTGACTTCACTCACAATTCTTGGTTCCGTCGCCAAAGTTCCGAAATCTGCCATTCTATGCTGTGTGCTAATCACGTACTTAGTATACGTTATCCACATCAATTGTGGCTTCACAGCCAACTTGATCAACATCTTGACACAACCGCAGTATGAGTTCCAAATCAGCAACCTAAAGCAACTGGCAGACTCTAACCTTCCCATATACGCTCCTGATAAATTTTTGGAGTTCCAATTTCACAGTAACGTCACCGACTGTGAACTGTACACAAAACTGAAGTCGTTGACAGTTCCCATTAAAAGCTCCCAGGAATATGTCATGGTGTTCTTAAAAATCAGCAAACATGGCAATAGTGCGCTTGTAACATTAGAAGAACATTTGTTTAACATGCAGAGGGAATTCAGCAATGAGCTAAAGGTATACAAAATTATAGACAACAGCATCACATGGCGAATAAATTATTTTCGCAACCATTACTTCGGGGTCTACTTCGAGAACTTTATTGCAGCAATTACAGAATCCGGAATCGGCAACGAAATCTATAAAAATTTGAAAGAGGCGTTTTTGAAAGTGCCCAGGGCTGAAGATGACGAGAAAGTGGTGCTAACCTTACGCCATCTGTGCTTTGCATTTGCCTTACTTGGTTTGGGATTGTCACTGTCAATGGTGGTGTTTTTTGTTGAACTCGCAATAGCAAAATGCACCTATCGTTGTAAGTAGTTACTTCAATCCCTACGTTCGTACCAACACGAAAGAGATAGCGATACATTGTGTCATTCCTTTAAAATTTACTAAAAGTGCTTTGCACACGCGCATTCGCCGTTTGTTCAAAAGATGTGCGTTGCTTCTCACATCACATCCAGTGATCCAGTAGTATCCTGTCTGTTCTCATTCAATCTCCGTTTCTTGTGTTATTTAAACATCAGTATTTTCCTCTTTAAAACTTTAATAGAAATGCCAGTGGTATTTTAGCTTAGTTAATTAGATGTTTAATGTAGCTTGGTATGGTCCACACAATCTTTAGCACTAACACCCTTACCCACTATTCGTTACTGAAAACGACCTCAAAGGGCCGCAAAAACTAGATGTAAGTAGAAACAAAGTTAATTCGAATTGTGTCACACAAACTGTTATTACTCGTCATAATTTTGATTTTCCCTGCCGTTTTGTGTCCGTCCTTGTACTTACTTAGTGCGCACGCAAAATGTTCGTGGAAGGAAGAAACAAGTTCCAATCTTGCTGCTTGTGAATACATATATTTCTACTGTCGTGTGTCGTGCCGAAACTCAATTTTTTGAAACCCTTAATTTGCAATAGAAGAAACATAGCCTACTCGACCATCGTTCTGATCAACAAACCGCGCCGTTAGTACTCCTTATCTTTGAACCGCTCCAAATTCAAGTACATTATATAAATCAATTCCCCGCCGCTGAATTTATTCAAATTGTATTTAAATATTTCAATTTTTGAATTGTTTTGGTTTTACATTAATTTTTTTCTGATAATCTAAAAACTAGGAAGGTCGGTCAATTATTTTATTCAAGATTTACTCTTCAACGGGGTTTGTAAACACACGCAACAAAATTAAAATAAAATGTAAATTTACACAATTCATAAAATTCTGAAAACGTACATTTCAAAATTATGAAAAAAAATGGTAATAGGATCTGAACATCCTCGAGCGTAACTAATCACGAAGTGTCCACTCTTAGGAAGAATCTCTGGGTGATTTTGAACGTAAAATATCGTCCCAAAGAAAATCTTTCTTCCTTTCTTTCAACAAACTTTTTACAGACAAGCATTATCTCAAACCACTTCCACTTTCATAAAATCCGCACCATTTTTCGTCGATCTACCGCGATGGAATGTTTTCAATTATAATTAAAATAATTTGTAGGAAGAAGGAAATTCTCTACAAGGAAAAAATCTGCAAACTTCAGCAATCTACATTTAAGGTTTTTTTCTGATAGTGACCTAAATTAATTCAACAAAAATGTTTATTACATTGTCCGGTAAATATTGTTGTTTATTCACAGTTTGTACATAATATAGTAATAAGAATTGTCATTATTTATCTATTTATATGAACACATGTTAAGGTATTTGTCAAAATTATGTTTAAAATGCACGATTGATCATTAAAGATTGTAAAACCTTGCTTTGATATATTGGTGGTATGCACTAATTCCCTTTAGCCATGTAACCTCTTGTAAAGGGACCGTTCAGTGTGGAAGCGTCAAGTGATAAGTACCAGGGGAGCTTAATCCCGTCCGCTGGTGTTTGAAGACTACCGGAAAGTGGTCACAGTAATTTAACTTTACTTAAAAGTCACATCTAACCCAAAACACGTGAACCTTACAACGGTTAGTATACTATATTATATTAGTATACTTTCTAACTTTGCCAAAATACTAGAAAAGATATTATATTCGCGAATCTTACCCAAATTCGAAATTATATTTCTCCAGATCAGCATGGCTTTATGGAAAATTGTTCAACTATCTCAAATCTGTCTTGCTTTACACATTGCTTCGGAAGTATTGGATAATCAGGGTCAAGTGGATGTAATATATACTGACTTCTTCAAAGCATTTGACAATGTAGAACACAGCTTGGTGCTGAGCAAATTGGACAAACTTGGTTTCTCTACTTCGCTTCTCCGACTGTTCGAATCATACCTTAGTGGTAGACTACAACGTGTGCAGTACAAGAATTACATATCTGACTCTGCTGTGGTTACGTCAGGAGTTCCGCAAGGATCTAACCTCGGTCCCCTACTGTTCTTAATCTTCATAAATGATTTGCGTTCTCTACCTTCCTGTAACACCTTATTATTCGCTGACGATTTAAAGATTTTTACATCCATTTATAGTAATGATGATTGCGTTTACCTCCAAACACAAATAAGTAAACTTGGCGAATGGTGTTCAAAAAACAATCTTCACTTAAACATGTCTAATAATGCAAAGTAGTTTCGTTTTCAAGAAAATCTCAACCTCTTCTACATCCTTCAATTTAATGATATTCAGTTTAAACGATGTACATCGGTCACGGATTTGGGTATTATATTTGATCTTAAACTTTCCTTTTCGGAACATATATCGGTGACTATTGCTTCTGCTTTAAAAATGCTTGGCTTTATTATCAGAAATTGTCGTGATTTTTCCAATATTTTTGCTATCAAATCTCTATATGCTGCTTATGTGCGATCCAAACTAGAGTATGGTTCTCTTATTTGGTATCCTTACTATGACTGCCATAAAACAACCCTGGAAGCAGTGCAGCGTAAGTTTCTGAAGTTTTTATCGTTTAAATTGGACAGAGTTTATCCCGCAATTGGTACTGATCATCAACTACTGTTATCTCGATTTCAGGTACATTCCTTAGAAGTTCGCAGAACTCTGTCAAGCCTTAACTTTCTCTTCAATTTGTTACACAATAACCTAGATTGTCCATCTCTTCTTACCCTTATTCGGTTTCATGTGCCACGTTCTTCGGCTCGTAATGTATATACTTTCAATTGTGCTAAGGCCAATACAAACTTACTTTGTAAATCACCTATATTTGTTATGGTAAGCAACTTTAACAAAATTGCTAATATGTGTGACATTAACACTTGCTCAGTATCTGATCTTAAAAGATTGATGGAATATTTTTAATCTTATTTTTAATCTTGTTTAACTTTAATATCATTTAATTTGGTTTTTATTAGGTTAGCAGTTAAGCTATTAGTATATTTAGTTATTGTGCTTTCTTAGATTAGTAATTGTCCTATAATTGGAATTTTATTCTGTTGGGCAATAAATCATATTATTATTATTATTATTAAACGGTGAAGACCGACTGTCAGATGAGCGCAGTAGCGTGGTCAAAATGCAGTAGTGTAGATGGTAGTTACGTAGAGTAATTTTTCTGGAAATACGGCTTGCTTCACAGAAATTAGGTTGAACCTAGGTTCTAGGGAATGCAATCCCGCAGCAAAATCTCAATCCCGGTATTTGCGGGATCTCGCAAAACTTTAAATAAGCTGGCAAATAAGCAATTCTGTGCGGTTAACTTCTGTATTAAAATAAATCGCTAATTATCACAATATTTAACAAAAAAGTACCTTCAGCCTAACTTAGAACTCGAAAAAAACTTCACCTGTAATAGTGCAGCGGAGAGCCGGCGCTAACTCGCTTATTTAAGGTAGTTTTTTTTCGTAGTAGAAAGAATTGGGACCCACACCATTTTGTTAAGAAATGTTTGAACCTTCAGAATCTCGCTTTACGACATTTTCCCGTGGTCCTGACAAAAGTTATAGGCCGGTAAAGTTGAACTTTACTCATTTTCGCGCGCACGATTAGACCACCGAAAGTATTTATTTTCTCAGCAACTAAGCGATATACATCAATAATTCCTTTTGTAAAATGAAAGTACATTTATAGCAGAATCTAAAGCATTCATATTTACCTACCTTGTTATGCACAGTTTTTAGAAAAATGGCCGTCAACTTCCAAAATTCGTGTAGCAGATGAAAAGTGCGCACTTTGAACTCTCATAACTTTTTATTTCACAATATCGATTTCCAATATTAATAGCTCATTCGATGCTCCAAAGCATTGTGATTATTTTATTTTCTATAATATTACCTTGAATTTTTCATAATAAAAAAGTTACGGTCATTTAAGTAAAAACCTACCAACCTCGCCGGTCGGGAGTCGCGAGTGAGACGGAGAGGGAAGGATAGTCAGCAGCGTTCGCGCAACAAGGAGCGATGCGTAAGGTTCTATTTTACTAAGAAATTTTTCTCCGAATACCAAAACTAGCCATTTAGGCCATTTACAAATGCATTCCGCCGAGTTGCATTGTAAAATCTCAAACAATTCGTTAACTCCATGTATTCGTTTAGGAGCCACCCTCAAAAAAGTGGTAAAGTTTCCATTTCTCCTTTAATTTTTTTCTCAGCAACAGTTACAGAGACTGGTGGTAAGTCTTTGAATAGGTTTTGCTGTATGCCCTTTCCGGTTTTGCAAATAATTTTTCAAAATTCCTACCAGAAAAGGGCACACTTCTAAATAGGGGTGCGAAAAAATGTTGATTTCGACGAAATTTGGTATCTGGTGGTTTTTGAATATAAAAATTAGGAATCTGAAATTAGTTTTTGAAAATTCGAAAAAAATAATTGCACTGCAATGCTTGGCCGGACAACGAAAATGGACCAAATTCCACGAAGTTTGTTGTGTAGGTACATACGGAACAAAATTGTTGAACAGTTTTTTTCAAACAAAAGTTATACTCATTTGAAAATTGGTCTTTCGGGTCAGAAAAATGTTCTCCAACAGTGGTATAACAAGTACAGTAAACATCAATATTACATGTTCTGCTAAGGGTGTCTACCTACATTTCACAAAAATTTGTAAAATAAAAAATAGTCACAGAATAAGAATAAGTAGGCCATATTCTGTGGAAACAGACGAAAAAAATTCAACGCACAGTCCTTTTTCAAAAGCGAGATACATCGGCAGAAGAAATCCAAATTCCTCGTTTACCTATCACTAGATACCAAATACTGACTTTAACAACCTAAGTACATGCTGATAATCCTAAGTAAGTTCCGGTATCTACCATTCAATATACATATGTATGCCGTTTTTGAATTCTCCACCAACGAGCTACAATACCATCCTAACCATCGTCTAGTGAAATCAAAAAACAAGCCTGAATCTTTGGGACAAAAT